AAATAATTAGAAACGGTGTTAAATATTCGTTCAATGATTCGCGTTTCATGATTCACGGGAATCGCAAGAATTTGTTTCCGGAATAATTGGAATCCGTCGTCGCGTCTGCCGACGCTTTTTACGAAGTTTTCACTTTTCTTCAGCCGTGGATCATGCATTATTAAAATCTGCCAACTGTCGCTGACGATTTCACTTTTTCGCGCGCGTGCACGCGTCGCGAACGATTCATCAACGTGGAAAATGCACCAAAAGCATCCGCGGAACAATCGTTCCGAACAATTCGTCGCTCAAATGATCTCACAAATATCAGCCGGTTCTTCCGGAATAATCGGTAAAATTATAGGCGATTGGACGGCAAAAGTACGTCGCGTGTACGCCGGCCCGAATCACGCGATACCATCAAACGTGTTACAACCCTCAATTTAAACCGGCTCTCATTGATTGAACTCGAGTGACTGCGAAGAGCGGCGAAGGGACGGCGAGTTAAGGAATTGAAACACTTCGCTCTGGGTCCGATGTTGTGTGTTCTTTCGACGCGTTTAACCAGTTCGGAGAGTCCCGAGACGCACAATACGTACGCACGGCCGCGATAGCATCGAAACCTTCCGTCGAACACTTGGTCGACGACCATCGAATAATTGATCACACTGTCGACTTTTGGTTCGTTCGAATGTATGGCGACGAGGACGCCGTCGGTGAACCGTGACGAGATTTTACAACGCGGTTGATTATATTATTAATCGTGACAGCGATCGTAAAAATACCAAAAAGTAGTTCGCTTACTGAAATACGAAACGAAGAGATAAGGAGCACCTCGGTGATCCGGTAGCTTGGTATCTCTGGAAGTACTTTTTCAAGGACAAATACGTCCATGGATTATACCAATGTCGGAACACCATGGTTTATAGGGTGAGCTTACCCTGTCGGCTTAGTTTACTCGAAAATTGCGTACGATTTAATTAAAATTATTATTGTTATATTATTATTAATGATAATAATATAATATATATTATATTATAATATGATTATTATTATTAATTATTATAATATAATTATTATTATTAATTATTATATATTAGAAGAAGAAAAGAATTTGCGTGGAAGTTATTATTAGTCTGTTATTATTGCTAGTTAGACAAAACGGTAAAGAAAGATTAAAATTATTATTGTTATATTATACTATAATAATAATATATATTATATTATATTAATTATATTATATTATAATATAATAATTATTATTAATTATTATTATTATTATATTAAATGATTTTNTATATTATATTATAATATGATTATTATTATTAATTATTATAATATAATTATTATTATTAATTATTATATATTAGAAGAAGAAAAGAATTTGCGTGGAAGTTATTATTAGTCTGTTATTATTGCTAGTTAGACAAAACGGTAAAGAAAGATTAAAATTATTATTGTTATATTATACTATAATAATAATATATATTATATTATATTAATTATATTATATTATAATATAATAATTATTATTAATTATTATTATTATTATATTAAATGATTTT